AAAAATTAAATTTCCCTTGTCTGTCATATTTAACGAAAGATGTTCAAAGATTGCCACAATATGCAATAAATATATATATATATATATATATATATATATATGTGTGTGTGTGTGTGTGTGTGTGTGTGTGTGCCATCATTTTAAAACAAATTCTACTTTGATATGTTTCTCTCAAGAATGGGTGACAGAAAAATAATTTAATTTCACAAGAACAAAATACCGTTACCGAGACATAACAATATTTACGCTAAGCATCTCGCCGCTTCTGGATTTTTCTTGTCGTTGTTCTTATTTTATCGTTGTTCTTATTTTATCGTTAAACATATTAGATTATTTACCGTAGGTTACCCGGATCGACATACACCCGATGAAGGACGGAGAGCACAACGGCTGAAATGTGGTGAAAACAACAACAAAGATGAGGACATTATTCTGCATGTAAATTTTGATAACTCCTCATCCGATAAATTCAGACAGAAACTAACTAGATAAGAATTAATTCCCACTCAGTTTTTAATTCTTTTTTTTTCGGCAAGTTTTACATATCGTATATTACTTCAGTACCAATTTAGTTATGTAGTCGACCTGCTTTTTTTTATTTTTTTTAATTGAATACATAGCTATAAACAAGGTCTTCAGGGATGCAGTTTTACACTGCAAAACATACCCAAGTGCCGGCTCTGGAAACGACCACCTCCCAGGGAAATGTGAACCTAGACTGAAACTACGGAAATTGAAGACGTCTAAGAAAGCACCCAAATTGCAATACTACAGACTCTTAAACGACCCGAATTTGAAGGAGAACTATATGGGCAGTGTGAAAAGCAGATACGAGGGACAAAATGAAAAATGGAATCTCGAAGTGGGACACTAAGAAAGTAACATCAACAATCATCCCAGAGGAAATAAGACGAAGAAAACATATGAATGGGTGACAGACGAAATTCTTGACATGGAGGCGAAAAAACACGCACGGCAAGGAACAGAATATAAGACAGTACACAAGAAATAAGCAGGCAGACTATAGAGGAATTGCTAATTGGTAAATTTGCAGGAATATAAAGAATGAATATCACAAATAAAGCAGATATCCATAAAAAACAAAACAGACTCATCAACCGGATGCATAAAATCCAAGGACAATACTTCAGATAATGAACGAATATAACAGAGATCTCCTCCACAACGAAAGAAAACAGCCGATAATACACAGAAATATCGACGAACCAGAAATATTAAAATCTGAAGTAAACTCGGTACTAGCTAAATTAAACATAAAAAAATGGCAGGGCCAGAAGAAATTGCAACAGAGATACTGGCAGCCTTAGACGATTTCGGCATAAACAGTATTACAGAAATATTAAAAGAAATCTACAACAGTGGTGATGTAACGGAAGAGCTAAGTAGATATATTTTCATAGCACTGCCTAAGAAACCAGGAGCAAACGACTATGAACTCCATCGGACGACCAGCCTAATAAGCCATATAACGAAAGAAAGAATCAAACCGGAAATAGAGGAGATCAGTGAGGAATCGTCAAAGACACTAGAATAAGGAACGCGATATTTATGCTCAGAATGTTATCAAAAATAGCAATATAAATGCAGAATAACGTGTATCTGTGTTCTATAGATTACGCAAAGGCTTTCGATAAAGTCCGCCGCAAAAAGATCTTACTGGAACTGCTAAGCAACCTGGATATATTTTGGAATGATATTAGAATAATCAAGAACCTATGCTGGCAGGAAACCGCTTGCATACGGACAGAAAATGAGTTCAGCAGGTTTAAGACAAGAGTGTGTCTTCTCAGCAGATGTAAGACAAGGATGTGTCTTCTCAGCAGATGTAAGACAATGATGTGTCTTCTCAGCAGATGTAAGACAAGGATGTGTCTTCTCAGCAGATGTAAGACAAGAGTGTGTCTTCTCAGCAGATGTAAGACAAGAGTGTGTCTTCTCAGCAGATGTAAGACAATGATGTGTCTTCTCAACAGGTGTAAGACAAGGATGTGTCTTCTCAGCAGGTGTAAGACAAGGATGTGTCTTCTCAGCAGATGTAAGAGAAGGGGGTGTCTTCTCAGCAGATGTAAGACCAGGATGTGTCTTCTCAACAGGTTTAAGACAAGGATGTGTCTTCTCACTCGGTCTTATCCAATCTATAGTCAGTGAGACCAGAGAACCAAATGTCCTACCAGGATTTATTATTGACGGTCACAATTCTAACAATATAAGACATCAAAGTGACACAGTGTTGATAATAGACAGAGAAAGAAATCTACAAAACCTCCTATAGAAGGTAGTGAAGGAAAACGAGAAGAAAGGATTAAATAGCAACTGCAAGAAGACAGAATGCATGGTTGTTAGCAAAAGGATGAGCCGAGAAATTCCTATTGCAAATCAGAGATGCCAGAATCAAACAAGTGTTGAAATTTAAATATCTGGGAATTTTTTTAATAGAGGAAGGAAAGTGTGACAGTGAAATCCGAAGGTGTATTGAGAGAGCCAAAGATGCATTACAAAAGCTTAGAGTACAAAGAAATAGTAACATTTAGCTAGAAGCATCTCGTCTACAGTCACTTTCTCACAGACGCGCCGTCGCCTCTCTCTGTCTGTTTTACAAATACTTTCATGGCAATTGCTCCAAGGAGCTTCATTCGCTGGTTCCCAGACTTCATGAATTCAAGCGCCCTACGAGGCTGGCATCCCGCTCTCACCCCTTCACTGTCGAAACTCCTAAATGTAGCCGTCTCTTCTCCTCCAATAGCTTCGTGTCTCGAACCTCTCGCCTGTGGAACTCCCTTCCCTATTCCAGTTTCCCTGAGAGCTATAATCTCCGGGTATTCAAATGTAATGTCAATCGACATCTCCAGTTGCCTTGATCTATCTACTACCCTTCTCCTCATCCTTTCTTCTATCACTCCCGTCTGATCTTGCTCCAAATTTTCTGTAACCCCTTGCGTTCTCGTGGCTTCCCGACTTGCTTGGGGTGAAACGCTTAAAAAAAACACAAGGAAAAAATACTAAACTGTTACGTCATATCTGTCGTCTACATAGCAGTTAGTGCTAGACAATCTCCACAAAGAAATGTGGTTCCACAGAAGGATACTGAGTATAAGATGAACGGAACATTTGAGCAACGACGAAGTTTTAGAGAAAATTGAAACAAAATAGAAACTTATACATAACATCAGGAAGAGATAGTTGCGTTTTCTTGTGCACATAATGAGAAATGCAGGCTCGATACTCAAAGGATAGATTGAAGGCAAGAAAGACAACGGATACCAATGCATAACATACTTAGGGAACTTGAGTAAATATTTGGCGGAACAGGGTTTATTCAAAACAATAGAAAGATAAAATAGATTAAGAGCTTAAAAGTACAGGAAGTTGTAGAGAGCCATGATCGTTTACTCCTGAAGGGACACGGCACATAAAGACGACCAATGTAGTAAGAGCAGGAAATAACCTGAAATAGCCTGGACGTATAAATAAAAAGACATACTTAGTTGAAATTAGTAGAAATATATTTCTATAGTGACACAGTTAACGTAATGCTTTTACACAGTTTATGTCCAGAAAAGAACACACTTATACGAACACAAGAAAAATTCATTTAAAAAAAGTTTAATCGCAGTACCATTTCAGTCGTCTTTAATGAAACTTGTATAAAAGAAAGATTGCTGCCCAAATACGCAATCATTCATATATAAAAAAACAGAGGATGCCTGTGTGTCTGTCTGTCTGTGGGATACCTTTTCACTCGAGATCCATCCAACCGATTTTGACCGAACTTGGCCAATACTTTATACAATGTAAGTGATAGCTTCTTAGCGTAAAAAATCGATCATTTTTAAAGAATCAATAATCGATAAAGCCGATCAAAAATCAACAAATTCAACTTTTTTCCTCCGATTTCGTTCAAACTCGATATCTAGGCTACTTACATCATGATGAGCTCAACGATACTTCATTTTTATTTTGTGCGTCGCTGCGTTTAGCGAGAAAACGCTAAAAACGAAAAATCGATTTCAATGCAAATCGATTTCAACACAAATTTTAAACTAAAAACTCCCTCAATTTTCAAGCAATCTAATACAGACTTCACTCAATTGTAGCCAACAATAAGTTGATTGTTTAACAGTATTTAACTTGATAATTGAATCCACTCATATAGTGAAAACCCGCGTAAATAACGATAAATGTCGATTTTTACTGGTTTCTTTATTTTTCGTTGATCTTTCAACCAATTTTCATCAAAATTAACCAGTGCTTTATAAATGTATCCTCTTTTACATCCCTGGTAGTACACTGACAAATTGAATTTCAAAAACTCCAACATAATTAGGGTCTGACGTGGTTCTTCATACTGCCTGTTTTACTCTTTCATGTCCTCCGCTAAATTCGATTGAATATATACAGACTATTGTTTTTATATCAGTGAAAATATTTTAAAGTAATTGAAGAAGATAGACTCTGTTGCATCTAAACATGATGCTATTTTGCTTTAATTCTAATTGAACGCTTTTACTGATCGACAAGCTGGGTATGGTTGCTAGTATATATATATATATATATATATATATATATATATATATATATATATATATATATAAGAAAGAAAGAAAATAAGATGTCGATATATTGTATATTACTTATTGGCTTAATGGAATTCATGGCCAAAATTGGAGTTATAGTTATTTTATTCTCTAGAACCATGTCCCAAGGGCATTTTTGGCTAGAGAATCGGTTAAATCTAGCTATATCCCTTAAGCTGTCCTAACGCGGACATTCTTCGGCTTAATACCAGTCATTCTATTCTGCATTTCAAGTTTCTTGTCTGTCCAAAGAGACTTCCTTCGCAAACAGTTGTTCATTCTTGACGCAAGACGGATTCAATGCAAAAGTATTTGGTTTCATAAACCTAGTCTTCTATTAAGCGATAAGAGGTAGAAACAGCCTAGGAAAAAAAAGCCTTATCAACTACGCATATAGACACACACAGATATATGTAGAGATAGATAGATAGATAGATAGATAGATAGATAGATGAGGTGCTGAAAAGTTCTTAGCCCGATCTACCTCCCACAATGTAAGAAAATGACAATTAGATATTCTTTTTCACTTTATTGAAAACTTTTCAGATCTCCTCATATATTTGTATGCAGGTGCATATATATGTATAACACATATGAACAGGGTGTTTATATTTTTATTTTTGCGCATGCACGTTGTGTCTTTTAATTTTGTCGACTGAAAGTATATGTTGTTGGGCATTGTCTATGAGAAAAAGAGCAACACGACGAAATTCATTCCTCCATAAATTTGAAAATGTCTGACAACGGGACTTTGAACCATGTCACACAATCAGAAGAACCCAGTCGTCGCCGTCAGACAATTTCTGCGAACATATTACCCCTTATATCTGGCCAACTAACTCTCCAGAGTGCGACCCCCTTGATTATCATGTCTGGGGCTCTGCCTAACACTAAAGATGAACTGAAGGCAAAGATTATGGTAGCATTCACCAACTTAAACAAGGAGACTGTCCAGAAGAGATGCAGGAGATTCGGAAGTCGTCTGGAGGCCGTGGTTGAAGCCAATGGCGATCTTATTGAATAAATTTGCTCTTTAGTATTTTAAAATATTTTTGTGTAATTTTGGTAATTATATCTGTTAAAATGAGATGTCAGTGCTATTTTCATGTTTTCGTAATTTAGACGAGAATTTATCCATCACACTCTGTATGTACGCTTATTTTAAACATTTCACCCAAAGCAAGGTAATAAAGTCACTAAGACGCAAGAGATTACTGAGTGTAAAAGTATAAGAGAAAAAATGAAAAACATTATTAAGAAGAGAGAACAATTAAAGACCAGGAAATCTGAACGCTGACGATAACGACTGACATTGCATTTTAAATTTCTTAATAACAACGTTACCTTGAAAGCGAGTAGTTTGAAGCTCTCTTCTGGCTTCTTATATGTATGCTAATGATGTTAACCCCCAAAAAACGAGCATATTTGTGTCAGATTTGACCAGTTTTTGAAATCGAAAATTTTAATCACTGATTTTTCATATGGCTCTTCTGGTAACATATAATCAGTAGCCTCTATGAATTGTACCACTGTTTTTTCTCCTGACTCTACTCATCAATCTATATGATTATATATATATATATATATTTATGTACATGATAGGGGAAATATAAGGTATGCCGTATTTGACAGCATAAAGAATGCACGGCGAAATTACAAGCCTTCCGATTTCAATAGGACATATTCAGGGAAAAAAGATTTCGTGACTTCAAGAGGTGTCAAGTTTAAAGCAAGCTGTCAGTACGCGATTAAACATTACAAAAAAATTTGAGCGCTGAAAACCTCACTGTATATAAAAAGCAAATTAGCAGTAGATAGACCTGAGCATAAAGGAAGAAATGAGAATAGGGAAAATATCCTACATGATTACAGAAAAAAGACATTGCAAAAAAGCACAAAGCAGACAATGTTTTAAAAAAAAAAGACCTACTACTACATTTGAACATAAACTAAATCCCCCGTTTAACAATTTCCAGATATCTCTATTTCTTTTTTAGTTGCCAGCTGGTTAAGTCATTTTTGCGTAAGATGTGGTAGCTGGTACCGAAAAACGTTACTTGTTCATTGTTTCGATAAATACCTTTATAGTATCAATAATAATAATAATTACATTCATAATAATCACAGCAACAACAACAATTTTACAATATACACAGACCAAACAAAGATAAGATAATCACCCAGACATAGTGTTTAAAGACCACAAATTGTGCTTTCTTATTAATATCGCAGTTCCTTTACTGTGTAATGTGTATTTGAATATCTTAAACCATCAAAGTAGATTTACAATGAAAGAATTTTTAGAAAAAATCACAGGGAAGTTACATTACGGCGCTGAGAATGTGACGGAAATCTAGGTGCCAGGACAGGAGCAATGAGATTGTTAATTCCTCTTTGGATTTTATCAAGGAACTCTAATCATATAGCAGGAGCATATTATGTAGTTTTGTTATTATTTGAGAAATATATTAAGCGATTTTGTTTCTAAATTGAATTTAAATTCTTTGATACTGAATTATTATATTTTTTATGGTTAAGTCTACAGCGAGATGCAATAATTTATTACTATTAATGTGGTATATGATTACGTTATTGATAATGACTGTTATATGATTGTGTTATTTGATAAAGATGCCCTCCTTGTGTTTTGTTGTTCTGTTGGTTGGCCAGATTTGATTTGGCTATTATCGATTAATTGGTAAGTTAATAAACGCCATATTATAGTGAAAGTGTCACCAATGTATGCGTTTATGGAATTGTTATAATTAAAGAAACATTCCCCAAGCGGGCAAGCGAATTCACTGGTAGCATTGGTTTGTCAAGTTTGTCGATTTATACACACGCAGGAAAAAATTTACAATTACATATATATATATATATATAATATATATATATATATATATATATATATATATATATCGTTAATGGATATCTTTCCTTATTTCCTTCAATGTTTCTGCATACAAAAAGCTTTCAATTTTATAGAAGAATTTTAAGAAAAACCGATTAATTAAATTTCTGGAAATACACAATCGATTTATTTGTTTCAGTCGAATACAGACAAGTTCTGTATCAACATATTACACTTGGCCAATAAAACATCGACATAGAAAATGGTTATTTGAAAAACAAACATGACATGTTGAAAGCGATGAACAAATTATTCCGATTTAAAAATGGCTGATTTTATTTAGGTTCTGTACTTGTAAAGTTTGTGTTATCAATGAAACAATAAACAGTCAATTGGGATGATACGTTTGCTTCGCTCACTGGTATAGAACCAAAGAAAAATAACCGTGACTTTTGAAGCAAAGATGAAACCGAAGCGATAATACTGAAAAGAGCGAGTAAGATGTTAGCGGAAAAAGATAGAAAATGAAAGCTTGGACTAATGTCTGCGGATATGTTCTCTGTTTTAAACATTTAAATTCCAGATATCCAAATGTTAAAGGTGGCGTCTGAAGGAAAGATGTCGGCCCAAAGTCTGAAAGGGAGTTAAAATCATCTCTAAGGTTATAGAAAAGGAGGTTATAGTGGTTCCAACGAGAGAAAAGTGTGTATATTAAAAAGAAGAGAAGAGAGGTGCCGCAAACGTTTTTGGTTGTAATGTGGATTTTTTTTTAAAATATTATACTTTATTTTTTATAATTTTACTACACGGGTTTCTGGTCTCGCGACCGTCTTCAGGTAAAAGGCGAAGATTTCCACATATTATTTAAAAAATAATTAATTTTTTTCCTTTATGTTTTCTATGTTAAATATTCTCGATATGTGACATTCTCTATTTTGTGTTAGTAATCCGAATGTCATTCTTGAATTAGCAGAGAAGAGTTCTGCGCGAAGGGTCATATATATATATATATATATATATATATATATATATAGAGAGAGAGAGAGAGAGAGAGAGAGAGATATTTAAAGATATTTTTGTAGGTACAAAATTTAATGATCGAAATAAAAGTAAAAACTTTAGGAAACGTCTCCTAATCAAAGAAATGAATTAACAGTTATTTGTAGGCATTGTATAATGTTTATTTTGAAATACAGTTAAAAGAATTCTTCGAAAACTTTACGCATTACAATTACATATCGATTATTTTATTAGTATATAATAGTCCATATTATTTACTAATTAATTTTTGTTTTTTCCGAAAAAATGTTATATATTTTTGACAATTCAACATAAGTCTCTGAATTTACGTTACACACACAACGCACACACACACACACACACACACACACACACATATATATATATATATATATAAATTTAATTATACTAGTGATTTTTAAGAATGTAAATGTAGTATAAAAATTTTGAAATTTCTTCAATATAAATATTTTGTTTAATATAATCTGTCTCCCCAATTTTATCTTAATTTTGTTTGCAACAGTTTGTCTGTTGTTGGACGTGTCTAAAGTGTCATTTTATCTTAGACATGAATAATTAACCCACCTACCCACACCGTGATCTTATTTTTCAGTTTACATTTTAGTTTAAATTTGTCTCTTGATTGGTTAATCCTGACATGTCCACAAGTATGTTATTTTGAAATTATGTTTTTCCCCACTTCATTTTTAACTTTGAAATAAGGTAATGATTTGCTTTCTAGATTCCCAAATAAATCATTTTCATCATAAGTCATCTATTATCGCCCGATGAAGGAACATTATAGTTCCGAAACCTCAAAAGTTTTTATGTAAAGATGATGTAAATATTATAATAAAATATTATAATAATATTTTCCTTACGTTGTACTGAGCATTTTTTCTAAAAAAGTAAATGCTAAGAACTGTGGATTTTAATCTGTCCTTTTCCTTATATATATATATATATATATATATATATATATATATATATATATATATATATATATATCGAAATAAAAGTATAAAAACTTGATATTACGAGACATATTAAAAAAAAAAACGGGTGAAGCAACCGGTTTCGCTCCCGCTCTTCAGGCTTCAACGGGAGATTTAAAATTGACACAGAAAAATGTACAATAAAAGGAAAAAAAAAAAAAAAAATTATGCAAAAAAGGAACTAGAGACAAATGACAGTGAGTCCCAACAAACACTCACGTTGTTCGCACAAAGAAGGCTTGCGGGACCAGATATAAAGTGCCTCCAGAACCTTTACATGAAATAAAGAGTGAGACCGGGACAACACGGTGAACCAGTCAACACTAAATTTGGCTGCACAATCTCTGTTCTTTAATAGGTGTTCGCATATGACGGAACGATAGGTGTTCGGGACGAGTCCATTCAACGGCAAGTTGTGATTTCTAATTTTAGTAGGGACGTGTTGTTTTATTCTCATGTCTAAGCGTTGAGTTGTTCTCCCTATGTAGTCGGCTCCGCAACTACATACGTATTTGTAAATAATTGAATTAATTTGATGGGGAGGGAGAACGTCTTTACACCTCAGAGCGAAACATAGGCCGAGTTTGAAAAAT